CCACCTTGGCACAGATGCCAAAACAAGAGCTCTACTTCAAGAATGAGGCATACTTGTGAACCTGGATGTTACAGAAAATTCCCATAGCTCTTCTATGTACACCTTTTTATAAAGTCATTCAGCTTATACCTGGTAAGACATTTTCATAAAAACCAATCATACATTAGATAGAAAGTGGAGGAATTTTATAAATTTGACAATAATTATGCAACTTTCCCATTATTCTAGTCTTTGGGTTGGCAACAAATGTTCACCTCCGTTTCTTCATGGGTGATTTTGGCATATCAGCCGTTGGAACCATCTGTTCACCAGGTCTTATCCACAGGATTGGCCCATCGTTACTCTCTGTACGTTTCTCCATCTTCAGGACTGACAACGGTCCCCATGGCATGACGTACTTCAGGAATGAATCCTGCTCCAGCATGTCGACAAACTCCTCAAAGTAGTCCCCAACTTCCTCATTGACTGTTCCCACAAGACTTATTTGGAGCAAAGGCCCGGACCGATAAGTCCCATAGCGGTACGTCCGCCGGACGTCTTTGCGGAACTCGGGCATGGTCGTGGTCAGAATGTCCGACTTGCCCATGACCTGGCTCTTGACGGTCATGTTAGGATGGTGGATGGAGAAATAGTCGATGAGGTCTGGGAGGTATGCAGCTGCACCATGGACAATCGCCATGACGTGGTTGGCAACACCTGGTTGATTCTCAGCATACACCATCTCAAAGAACTCCTCGACGAAGCGCTGCATTTCCTCATCGTGAAGATGAGCAATCTCGTCCGAGTAGACGTGGAGCACCGACGCACCGCCATTGGGCTGATGCTCGATGTGAATATATCTGCTGAATTCGCCACCTTTCTCACTGACCCCACAGCCGTACTTCTTCAGTATCCTGTCCCTGTCGGAGAGGTCACACACCTGGCGTGCGGTTGCCGGTGTATCAATACATGCATCTGATACAGGAACATGGCTGATCTTCTCGCGATGATGGTGGTGATGGTGGTGGTGATGGTGGTGATGATGACGTTTGTGCTTCTTCGGCTTTCGTTCATAATCCGCTTTCTTGATGTGCAACTTGAGTTTTGGACAGCCAACCTTTTTGACAATTCGCGGTGAGATGCACATATTACCATTTGGTTTACCATCACCTGAAATGACAAAGGTTTACGACTTGTTCACAAGTAAACATTGAATCTTTGCACTATGAATTTCTGAATGCAACTGAAGCAAACACGACCACTATTGATAACATTAAATAATGACTATTTTGATTATTTTAATTTTTTTACACGTAAATTAAAGTTGCCAACATTTATATAGGTTTTCAAATATACACTTAAGTAGCAGGTACATGTATATATGTATATGTACTTGTTTTACTGACAAATTCATCATTCAAATTTTGCGCACACGTAGGTATTCTTTATCCCAAATACTCAAAAGAATACTGAATGGACATTTTCTTTGCAAAAATTATATCATAGGCTTAGATACCTTAGCCTTGATGTGTTTGATGCTTATGACAACCAGTTGACATTACACTTTTCAACAGTGTAATTGCTTATGAACAATACCGCTCGAATTACCTGAGCTATGAAAATGACAATGACACAAACACATTTTTTGGGTTTTTTTTTTAACAACAAATTGGCCTTTTTCTTCTGCATCTGCATTGTAAATGAATAGGTTGATTGCCAAGGTAATCTGAGACAGAACCAGTCAACTGCTACAAGTACAATTTTCAAACGAGAAAAATCAGCACAGTTGGTCCAGTATTTAACCATGTTAACATCAGCATTTTAAAAAAAACAACTTCTCAATTACTGTCAATCATGTTAACTTGGATATGGTCAATACATGTTTGTGTTTGTTTTTTAGTCCGTTTAATAGTTTTGTTTTTGCATGATAGGCCTACTTACTTGACAATCACACACAATCCTTCTGAATTCTCTACAGGAAAATTATCACGAAAAACACACAATTCAAATGACATAATTTTCATGACAGTTGACCTAGGGATAATGACAAGAAATAGGGCCCATCGCACGTTCAAAATTTTATGCGATAAAAGCAAACATTACAAGTGACCATTAATTTCAAGCCCTTGATGAGCAATGGCAATGGTCTGTTCTGATGGTCAAGATGGTTACCTGCCATGCTTGTCGCATTTGTTGACTGTGTTAATGCAGCTGCGGGAAAGTTACCATTGATAGGCGGATTGTCATCTGAGGCACGACCTGGTGAGTGGGATCGCGTTCTTCTGGTAATCTTCACAGAAGATGGACTTGGTGACACATCGGACTCGCTCGTGCTTGAATAACGCTGTCGGTAACCGCTGTACATTTCTTCCAGATATCCCGAACTCGAAAGCCGCCGATAATCATGATGTACCCGCCTTCTCTTCCCGATTTCTGGACTTGTTGGTGGTGAGCCTATTGAAGGTTCTTGTGCGACAATTCCTTCTGTGGGAATTTTCGTGTGCGTGTTCAATTCTGACTCGTTTTTGTCATCAACAACGTGCGTTGCTTGAGTTTCGTCAGCCATGATAACAGCAGCCATGTTGACATGATCTGAATAATGCCCGGATGTTGATTGGGATTTTTAATTAAAATACGGTGGCTTCGAATGCACATTTCTAAAATCATTGCAAGTGAGCTTGTGCAGAATAGCGCCCTCTGTTACAAAACACGACCGATGATCTTTGCGCCAAATTACAGATGCGGCCGATTTAGTACGGTAGGGTTGCGCACAATGAATTGGGCCTCTTTGCCACAACAGACAGCCCATTATGGCTGCTAACAATCGAATTGTATTAAATAAAGGTCCAATATACAAATAAACCATTTTCATGAGTGCATAGATAATTATATTAGCGAAGTTACAAAACAGATCATTTCAGTGTCATTGATTATAATTGTTCTTTCCATTGAACATTAACAGGCAATTCGTTACTGCTTGGAGGTAGAAATATTAATGGAATTCTCTCAGAGCGACCTCTGGAATACTCTATGGGGGCCTGTTTGTTTCACACGAGTGGATGTCGACCAATGATCCCAACACTGGTTCACTCCATCCATTAGACGCGTTCTGGGGTCAGTGAACCAACTGAGGAACACTGATCGACATCCGGAAGGAGCAAGCGGACCCATGGAGGGTCTCAGTGATGCTCCAGGGAGCCTTATCACCATTCACAAACAATAAAGGCCCACTTTTCTATGTTTAATGCCCCATAGGAGCAGCATTTAAGCATTAAAAATCGTTATAATACTGGTTTCATGTGATATACAAGAATGGAATAGATTATAGATTACAGAATAAGATAGTCTCAAAGAGAAATATGAAATGAACGCACTATATGTGTACTGTACTACGGGAGCGGGCGTCTAAATTAATATTTTGTGCCTACTTTTTAATCCCTTCCAGACATACCAAACCACAAACACAATATACCACACCCGAGTAAAAAAAGTCAACGATCATTCACTATACATTGCTTTTTAATTACAAGGGGGGCCTTGTAACAAATGTCTAAATTGAAAGGCGTGTTATTAATGTGTCCATGGTGTGGAATTTTTGATGGAATAGTTCTTTTTTTAATGACAGTTCTTCGAATGACTGGTTTCATTTTCCCCATGCACCTGACGATAATTTGGATCATATATATTGATATATTGCACATTTTCAGGCGTGATATGCAAATTATATTTAAAATATACTTTCAGACCCCCCTTGAAAATCAAGGTCAAGGATGACTATCACCATTTAGATACTACTCTGACTCTATATACGCAACGATAGCAATCGACTTTGAAAACTGGCTTCCATCTCAAATGGATCCATGTTAGAGAAATAAATAACTATAGAATGAGGGAAACCACGGTGATCAGGGAAGCCTTGCGAACCATAGAAGAGTGAACTGAAAGAGTATACCAAGCAATTTTGGATCGAAAAGAAACCATGTTTTAAATATAGCCATTTTTTTCCATTTCCCTCCACTCAAAGGATGTGTAAAAAAAGCCCTTATCGTAGCCTAGTCAGAAGTCCTTCAAAGGATAAATAAAAAAAATAATAAATCCCACTCTCGGCCCTCCCCGTCCTTAAATTTGGGTCTGGATTCGTCTTCGACTCGCTTGAATTTCTTGAATTAAAAAAAATTCAGTTTTGCAAGCAAACTAAGGTGTGAGCGCGTCGGGGAAGACAACATGCAGGATTGGTGCGTCTTGTCTCTTTGTATTTCGCGCGCGCAATTCTGATGGCGACGTAATCGCGTCGCGCTTCGTAGAAACTTGAATATTCTGCCAAGGCGCATCTCACATAAAAAAAACACAGAACGTATGACATCGACAACTAACTTAAATGACCATGAAATTAAAATAAACCGTGGATGGCTTCTTTATCAAATCCACGATCTAAGGAAAATGGAGACCATAAATGAATTATTTCCCAGGACAAAAGATGGGCGGCAACAACCAGATGAGGAAGGAGGTGACGAGAATGCGGAACAAATAGATGGTGAGTAGTAGTAGTCATCACGATGCACGTAAAGGCATTCAGATTTGAAGTTATAAAAGTGTTCATTCTGTAATTCGAGATTTTTTAGACCAAATACGCAGTATGCTAGTCAAATATTTGCCATCTCAACTTTGGCCGCAGGTACGTTTATTTTTTTTGTAACAAAATGAGACTAAAGAGTTAATCGAAATGGGGTTTCGAAACCAGTGCATTTAAATAAACTCTACCATGATGATTTGGATCAAGTCGTTTCTCCAAAAAGGACCGATTCCATTCTTTGCGAATGCTAATCGAATTTAAAGCAAAGAAACGAAAAAGCCCCGTTTGGGAATCCATTCATTTCTTGTGAATTTGCTATTCTGTTCAATCGCACTGCACCAAAAATTTTCTCCAATGAATCAGGTGTTTTCATCCAACGGACAGCTATGGGGGAATATCTCGTCCCGAAAGACGGGAAGCCATTAACGCAACTCGGTAAGTGCGCTTTTTCCAAACGAAGTTTGCAAAATGCAGCTGGCTGGAATGATAAGCAAAACTTAGTTGTGTCTAATTGAATCGGGTTACATTTACTCCTCTAATTATGTTTCATGGGAACTGTTCTAATTGGATAAAATAACGAGAACCTCGGTTGGTAATATCAGCTCACAAAAACTATACGACTTTTAAATCGTTCGTGATGTAGCAATTCCTCTTCCGGGGCCAGCTGATTATGAACCTAAAATTGACCTCACAGCAAGAACGAGGCCACAATTCTCGATCGTTGGACGAACCAAGCAAGTAAAAGGTATGAAGGGCTATAAGTCGTTTTCTCCTGGAAAAATGCCATTTTAGCGGGGAGTTACTCAGGACGTCATGTCCGGACATAATATCCGCCACGAGCAGAAGCACCCCCTCGTCGGTTGATAAGACCCATATTGTTTGAGAGTGTTCGCTTTGTAGGTAGCGATGTGACCTTAATGTGTTCACATCATATTCGTTCGTCAACCAGCGAGGTTTACTTCCCACCACTGATCTCTATACACTGGATATGCAGCTCAGAAGTAAATGCCCATGACTTGTGTGAATTGAAGTGACTGCGCGGCCATCTTAGGATATTCAATACATTGGCCTCCAACTTCAGTCCATTCACTAAGTGCATTCATGCATGGCGCTAACGTCGGTGACTTGGAAACTGCCATTGTATTGAATAGCTTAAGATGGCCGCGCAGTCGCGGAGCGGAGCTGCCTATCCAGTGTACAGAGATCAGTGGCCTCACCCGCGGCCCAAGTTATTAAGAAAATTGCGCCCTCTCTTGGTCCAGCTTGAGGCTCATAGTCCCCTTATTAAGGTGATTTTCTGGTAAAGCTGTCATCTATGGGGTTTTATCCAATGAAGAGATTTTTGGAACGGCTGAAAATTAATTTATGCCTCTTTATAAAACTTTCAGATTGTATTTCATTTCATGGCTTTCATTAATGAGTAAAAGTAATCATCTTGCGTTGGACTGAAGAAACATGGATTGCGCAGCCATTCTCTATGGGTGCCACTTATGTGACGATATGATTTGTTCATGAGAATTTTTTCCGCATAGCCCCTCCCATACCTGGTCCAGCGGACTACAATACCTCAGGAGAATTAAACTGGAAAGGAAAGAAGAAAACGCTGAAAGAAAAAGGGCAGACTTGCCCTCACGGCACCAAACGTGAGTCACATATTGTCGCCTCTATCGACCCAATCGTCAAAATTGCGTACACCATTGTTCCAACACTTCAGCATCATCCCATTCCGCGTCGACCAGTAGTACGCCCTCATCGATTGAAGCGAGTCTTATTGGTCGGAAGTGTCTTTTTGGTAACGATGTGACCAAAGCGGAATTCAGTTCCGACCAAAGCAACCTCCATTATTTAGAAAACTGCGCCCTCTCTTGGTCCAGCTTGAGGTCCATGATCTGTGTAATTTTCTGTTTCATTTCCATCACCATTTTCCACTGACTCTAAGTTGTGTTGATCATCAGTTCAAAAAGCTCCCAGCGAATCGCTTGGCTTCGTCATCACTTAAATGCCACACCATGAACAGAGAGAGTTTTAACTATCAACAATTCCGCCCCATTATTTGTTTATTACATCTTTTAATGTCACTGAAATTGTTTTACATTGACGGTAGTTGAAACCGGTTATCTTTATAAAGGTCGGAGAACTTCCCGTATATTCAGTGAACTTGTCATCGTCAGATGTCCTTCCTGACAATAATGTTTGTCTTTCAGCTTCTCACCACCTGACATGCAGTCCCGGACCGGCCGGATACCGGGTTACATACAAAGACACCGGAAAAGATGCGCCTAAGATTAGCGCCGCGTCTCGCCATTTGGACGGAGTCAATGTAGGCCATCCCAACTGCTTGGTGCAACCAGTCGATACGCACGGTGAGCAAAAATCTTTCTCCCCAGACAATCGGAATAATGTCAAGCGATGTGCCGGTATACAGGCCACGGTTTAGTTCTCCAATGGACAAGAATCTTGCACGTGACTCGCATACTTAAGAACTACAACTTCTAGACGGGTTGAACTGTTAACCTCTGCATTGAGAGCCGAGAACAACCTGTCACTCTAATTGGGATCATAACTGGAGAAACTGAGTACACCGTAATTCTGAGATATTATAAATTGTTAATAATTAGTCTTAGGGTTTATCAGGAAGTAGTAAAAATAATTTGACGACGTAAAAGATGGAACTTTACATTATATTTCAATAGGTAAACCTGATTAATTATAACTATGGCATGTTCTAGCTAAAACTATCGTTCGAACACTGGTCAAGTGCTAACAATGCACATTCGCAATACAATCACACTCGAAAGACCCCAGTGGACCAATTTGCAAAATCTCATCGTCAGTCATATTTTGGCTGCAATAGACCAATTCCGCCCGCTAAATCACATGACCTGTAGTGTCAATCCCTATATCATTGTGTGTTTTGAGTGTTGTTTACAAACAATAAAGCCAATTCACGGTATAGTACCCAGCACATAACCGGGCTGACTACGCCACCTGCTGTTGGCTTTACGTTTAGTTCATTTGTTCGTGCGTCCAATGACGTCCTGTCTTCTCCTCGCCTTCCCCAGTACTGTGTCAGTTGCCTTCTGCAGGTCCTGTTCACTGCATCTATCTCCTACGCATATGAGCATGTGGGCCATTGTCTAAACCTCACCAGTCACACCTACTGGACTCTTAGAAACCTTACTTATGAAGTGAGGCCCTACACCAGTACGGAGGCGGTTCAGGGATTTCCAGGTTACATTATGGTTGGTGGTGTCCTCGTGCCATTTGCTTCAATGGTCTTCTGGCTGGTGGAGATGGCTCAAGTTCCATAAAACTACGCCTGCTTTTAAGCCACTTTTGTACTCGCTGATGGTTGTATAAAGGGTGTTGCGGGTCAACTTCGGCCTTGTAGCGTTCAACGGAAGTTGTTTTTTCGCGTCTTTAAGGTGGGGTCTCTGCCAGACAGATTGTACAGACATTCAACTCTGGTTGGTTTCAGGCATCTTGTGATTATTCTGCAAGTTGCTTTCAATGCAATATCCACCTACGCATCACATGGGTTGAGCGGTTCCACACTGCTGGACTGACATACTCTGCCGCTGAGAAACATAGTGCCAGTGCTGCTGTCCGGCTTGTGGTTGGGTCACTTCCAAAGGGGCTATTCGCACGCTTAGCAATAATGTTGTTCCTGGTGTTAACCTTTGCTTTGGTGTCCTCAGCATGCCTACGGAAGCAGTGCGCGGTTAAGAAGCACACAGAGATACCTTGGTTTAGTATCTATGATTAATAAATGACACTTATGAACACTTTGCTTTTCGTGGACACCGTGTTTGTTGAAATTTATTTAACAACCACTATAGGTCACGTGACTTAGTGGGTGCAGTCGGTCTATTCTACAGGTGTCTGACATCTCATTATTTTTTTTCATTGTAATGGCTCCCTCTGTTCTGATAAATAAAATCGGCTGTTGCTATCCAGCGGCATGACCAACCCTCAGATTGTCGATCCAGTCGACCATCTGAGGGGGCGACGTTGGTCGAAGCGTAGTAAAATACGTTGGTCGCTCGAACCTGCCCATTACAGGTGTCCAGACCCCTAGCTCCAGTTACTATCACCCTGAGTCACACGCCCTCAACGATAGGATTCACAAATCGTTCGGCACCAGCCGCAAAACTTGCAACAAGACCCTGGGCCCTGGGCCTGCAGGATATACCATACAAGAAGGTCAGCAGGGAGCAGCGTATTCGCTATCGAAGCGGCTACCAGCGAAGTGGCAGCAAGGTGTGTTTATTGGAATCAGAATGTGTCTAGCTTTTGATCATAGGGTTTTTCTCGAAATTAAGCGACAAGTAAGTACTGAAAGGATTGGGCTCAATCCAAGCACCTGCTATTTTTATCACAGGACATCTTTGTTCTTCATAGTTTTTCCCCAGACAATAATTCACTGCGACTATTTTTTTTCAACGGGATAATACAAACTATCGACTAAAAATCCATCACAAACATTCATCCTGATCTTGTGGATACAAGAGTGAAAATTGAAATGCAAGTGAAAATTGCAGACAAAAACCAATGACGTCAATAAACCAGATGTGATGTGGAAATTTGCATATATAATATGTGACTGAGTGCAACTTTCAGAAACCTATTTTCTTTTCATCTTGTTGCACATAATCCAAGTTTAAGTAAGTAAATGTTGAACCTGAACATAAGTTAATGCATTAATGTGTAACTGAAGACAGTTCCACCACAACTCATGGTGATTGTTGATGGAATAAATTAACACAAACCTCCAGGAAAACGTGTTCCTATAAATCTCCAAGTAGAAATCTCTTCCAAACTAACAATTAATTTCAGCCGTACGATTTTGTATTTGTCCAGAATGTAAGGTAATCGTGGCAAAAATATGAATAGCCATGTTTAATGATGTTGGCCTGTCGTCTTCAGGGATGTGAATGTCAATTTTTTTTTCTCGCTTATTTTTCCTTAAAGTGACGGATTATCCAGCTCCAAACGTGTATGATGTGGGAACCACAATTGGTACAGGGGTTGCCATGGCAATACGAAGCCGCCAGCCACTCGAACAGAGTAAGATGTAAATGTTTAAACTAATAGAGGTCTGACGGAAAAGTCTTAATTAAGACTAAGATCTTGTGTTTTGAATGTCCCCCCCCCTCATCCAAGTAAGGTCACTATTCTGGAAAGTTCAAGAGTGGAAATGACATTTGCCATCATATGTACTTTGCCTTTTCAGAGTTTGACAAGAACTTATTTTCCAGTCATTTTATTTCATCATAATCTGTCTTTTAAAGAAAAAAAACAATGACTTTTTATTCATTCAAAAAATAAAAAAGGCTTGGAAGTGATGTGTAAACATTTCAAAAATTAATCAGTGGAACACTGTCACCTGAAGCATTTGAATGCATGCATGCATGTGCCAAATAAAACCCAAAGAATAATCGTAAAGTCACCTATTATTTTTAAAGCTACCGACTGGTCAGGGAAGGCCCTTGTGACTTTTGGTACAATCAATTACTTTTTACCTTATACATCGGCCATTTTCTTGTGCATAACCAGAGAATTGGGTGCCAAGTCCCAATACGTATACTTTAAGGGACCCACTGCGCCGTTCTGATGCGCCAGTTGCTACTGTCACATACCGACCATTTTCACCCACGTGTGAGTAAATAAAATGATTGTATCGAGCATGGAACGTTCATCCAAAGGGAAGGGGAACCCGATGGACCGAATTAAATGACTTATTCAAACTAAGTAAACACGCAAGAACAGTTTTAAAACAAAAGATTTCGATAACACAGGGAAGAGATTGTATGTCGCCACCATTATTTTTTGTTTCATCAATATGTTCTAAAGTACATGGTTTGAAATATAATTCTTCTATATTCATTCTGAAAGTCATCGAATATGCCATCATAGAGAGTTTATACTATCACGTAGAATGGCTGAGCACACCACGGGCAGATGCAGAAATTTATCCAAGGGGAATCAGACCTATCAGAATTTTTCTATGTCACAAAGTACATATACATGTAGATAATACAATAGATGGATACTTATGCGGTCAGAAATAATAAATCTTGATGGATTTCATCTGTGTGTCGGGAGGGGGTTCAACCCCACCCCCTGGATCCGCGCTTGCACATTCAGATTAGGTTGAAAATCTGAGTTTAATATAATAGCATTTGATCCAATGAAATTTGAAAAGACCTCTGTCCATTTCCAGTTTTATCCAAACCATTCAGATACATACAATAACCTTTTCACTCTTTACAGTGAAGACGTGGCCAAGCCCAGCGCACTACAAGCCCACAGACAACACTTTACCCACATCTCCTAGGTTCTCCTGCCGGAAATTCTGCAAGCCGTGCTTTCCAGATATTCTGAAATACCCAGCTCATGGTCAGTTACGGGCAACTGCTCTTTCGTATGATTAAGCGGCAATGGAGCGAACTTCGGCTTAAAACCCTCTCCGGGAGATCAAAAGAGAACAAAATACCCCTTTGCAACTAATTGCTTTGCGGGCAAATGTCACAAAAGTTACGGTTATCCTTTGCCCCTGATTTCTCAAATAGCATTTGTTAAGAAGATGCAAGCTGCTTTTTTAAAAAAGTCACTCCTGAAGATGTTTGGTAAGAAGATTATGAAAACGGAGAAGTGGAGATTTGTTGTGCTGTAAAAACATACACATCTACCGAACACCGTATCAATTACACTGTTACAGTGACACCTTATAAAATGTTTGATCAGTCATATTGTTCCATCAGCCAAATGTGGCTCCAGACTGACGAACTATATCTGCGGGTCATTGCAAATATTGGCCGGAGTTCATTCAGCAACAGCGATTATTATCAATCATTCCTTATTTCCCAAGTCATTTACACATTCACAAATAATGATCCATTATGCTGTGTTTTGTAGCACCTGACACCACACCAGGTCCTGGAACCTACCATAGTCCCAGGCGGTTCACAGACAACGATTACCCTGCTTTTTCTATGGGGTCACGACCCAGATCAAAGACAAGTAAGTTACCTAAACACCAAGCATAGGTGTTTTGTCACTCTGTCGTTCTTTGGTTGTACTTTTTGCAACATTGCCAGCTCCTGCAAACTGGCAGCATTTCAGCGTTTAATTCCCCTTGCGAATTGCCCACGGCGACAGTGCAAGTTTACAAGTTCAATTCCCGCTTCATCTTAATCCGATATGGGCCTCGAGTTCGCTGGAAAGAGGGCGCAATTTCCTTAACAACGGATGCTCCTTTGGTAATAACCAACTACGCATCTCTGGCTCACGAACTTGAACGACCAGGAAACCCAAGCGTTGCCGTTGCATCAGTACCAACAAAATGAACACTCCTGACCAACGCGGCTCTTTTCAACTGATGAGGGGGTGCTTCTGCCGAGGTGGATACCCGTTAAAGGAAAAAATTTAGAACTTATACTACGTATCGAAATAACACCAATTGTACTGAACTTGCGAAGAACAGATTTCAGCTCTTCGGCAACTTCCCTCGACGTCTCGATTGTCAGCAGCAAGATTATAGTGTCATTCACGAAGAACAATGATACTTTTTGTTTCAAACTTGTAAATGATTTTCTCGACGTCATAGATGATGTACCGGGAGCAAACCATTACGACATTCGTGTCAGTCACCGACCCGACGGCAAAAAGGCACCAGAATTCTCCATGGCTAAGCGTTGCCACCCTCCACATAGTGAGTACGGTTTATCAAACTGTTTTTGCCAAGACGTAAATGCAATTAGCAATAATTACAGTTCCATCTCGATGTTCACGTTCCTCTGTTCTCCAGTGACCTTTCTGGCGACCCCAATTTTGTGTGCAGCATGGGCACCTCATCCTCTTGTTTATAGGATTTTTCACTGTGCACTTCGCCCTCCATCCGTAGATAACGTTGTCCTCCATTATGCAAGATGAAAAAGGGTTCATAACTGCACGCAAATCATTCACTATGACCTTATTGAATTGAAAATACACTTCTGACATGTTCACGTCTTTCAACTTTCCAGAGAACGAGAACCCAGGGCCTACTGCATATAATCCTCCATTAGACACCAATGATGGGCCAAAGTACAGCATGATTAAACGTTGGAACGGGCTTCGAAGTATGAACCAAAAGACAATGAGCCGCTTCCACGGAGCTGCTGAAGTAGAACATATTTGCTTATGGTATAGTAACAGGCTCCCAGTCCAAAATGTCAGGCAATAATACCTGTGACTGGCTTCAAGATGTTTACTACATATTTAAATTTGATAAGCGATATTCTCTTCTCAGCTCCATGGAACAAGTATCGGTTGCACTCGTAATAAATCAGCAAAGTGCCACTAGGTATGACCCTCATTTTTTGGAGGAAGGGATAACTTGAAAACCATCAGTTTGTGGGAGGCACTCAATGACTTTTTGTCATGCCACAGTTCAAAAAGTACAATCCTTGAGGGGACTTCCACCATGGACTGTTCCTCATCCACATCGAAATCATTAGACAGGTGTTCAAATCTAAATTAGACTGGATACCCTTGACTCACTTCCATCACCCAGGCCGAATTCCACCTTTTCGTTTCACTGATTTCACTCACAAAAAGAAACACCAAGGACTAAATCAGTCTCTGGGAAACATAATTGCATTCCATGCATTCGTTTCATTACAATAAGGGATTCAACAGTTAGTACAAGAAGTGTGTGGAGGGACCAACCTTTTTGGAAGATGTGTCTTCTTTTCTAACTTCAGAACCAACCCAACCGGCTCCTAACTCCTACAGCATAGCAAAGGGACAGACGAGCAGAGGGCGCTACACGGGACCCCTGGCAACAATCAAAGGTCGTGCCTCGTCCTACGTCTACCCTGGATACGCGCTCCAGTCGTCAGTTCGTTTGTTTAAATCATAGCTGTTCCCTACCTGATTGATGTAACGACTACAGATCTATAATTGTATGATGTTTGATCATGAAAAGGAAGAAGGGTCTTTTACCCTCCTCATCGAAAATGCCGACACGTTTTTATAAATTTACACATGTATTATTAATTAGATTTTAGTATTATTTTCTTGTATTTGTGTTTTTATCTTTGAAACATGGCGCAAATCACCTATCTAATTACTTTAGCAATTCATGAAATGTCATCTCCTAGGCCATACAATATAACCTTAGGCCGCCTCTGAATCACTTGGTTGTGGCTTGAAATTACACGCAACTCTACTCGAACTGTCCATGGCCGGCCAAGATCATAGGCTCGTGGTATAATAGGGCAATCTGCTGGAGTCCTCTCAAGTCAGATATCCCGATTCTCTGGCCAGACCTTGTTGAATCCTCAGTCTCAAAAGTCAATTTAATGATAAAGTTAACTCACCGTAAGAAGTGGCCATACCTCAGTTATCCTTGGCAATAAAAGAAATATTTTCCCAAAACAAAGAGAAAAATGAAAACCCATTCCAAATAAATGCAGCCAAGTCATAAAAATACTGCCCCAAAATGAGATAATTATTATTCTCAACATTTTTTCCATCGATAATCCTGTGAGGTCAGTTAATCAGACACAATACCCTTTCACCAATAATTGAGAACAATGACAATGCATGCCCGGGGAGAAACAAAATGCACAATCTGGATCAAGAGAGGGCGTTATTTTCTTAGCAACGGAAGCACCTTTACTAAGTGTGTATCCGCTCCGAGTAGGAGAAAAAGAGGGCGTGTTTGAAATCAAACCGAAGGTCCTTTGGTACTCACGCATGGCATATAGGTGCGCAAGTCTATGCGCATTTGACGCGGAGCGAAAAATCTGGACTCGCAAAGCTATGGTGTATGGTGCACTATTTACGAAAAACATTTCTCTCACTCTCTCTCTCTTGCCTCCCTCCAGGCGACGCAACCAGACGACGCGACGGCACGACGGCTCCCTTGTGTCGAGCCGTTAGGTCGAACCGTCGCCTTCTTGCCATTTCGTTTGTACAAACGCGATGCGTCGCCCGTCGCGTCGTGCTGTCTTAGGTCCTTTCCTTGTTGCATCTTTTTCTGCCTAGACGTCGCCCCCTTCCTTTCGTTGATTTTTCTACCTGTTAATTAAGCGTCCAGCAATGCGAAATGTAGTTTGACCCGCCATAGGCTCATGTTGTGTTGATCGAGCCTAAGTCCCGGTTAACACAAGTCCCAAAAACATGGACAAAGATCACATCCTTTACTCAACCTATTTTAAGAGCTGCAGTCGAGTCCCTGCAAGTGGTGCACTTAGACGTTCACTTGGCTTTCTTAGTAGGCCTACATTGCTGCCAAACGTCTTTGTTGAAACAATTCAAATTCATTTGGTTGAAAGGACTAATCAGGTGACATCGACGAGGATGAGCATTGTCGCCGTAAGGTGCATAGGAAATGCCATTCCTGTCAGATCTCGTCTCAAACTGTTCCATATATTCACTGATACGAAGAAGTGCAATGTCATGCCTTCGACCTCCTTTACTGCGACATAGAGATGTGTGATCAAACTGGAATTTGCTTGCATGGATACCTCTGTGTCCATTATAGCAAGAGTTGGTGGACGGACTGACCCATCTACGAAAATCTCCTCTGTTGTGGTTTCTGCTTAAAGTAGCAAGTGTGCCTGATTATTCCAAGGATTCTCCTAGGACAGGAACCAATGGTGATAAGAAGCGTACAGAAAGTCAACAATTTGGTTTACGCGTATGACAAGTTTTACTCAGGCTAGCTAGGTCAGTAAACATTATATTCAGCTGATGCGCGACCTTTAGATTTAGAGAATGGCTTGACCATCATTTTTGCTGTGTTGTTGTTACTATAATCCGTACCATGAAGGGGTGAGACTGGATGGAGGAAAAAATAAGGAGAAAGTGTAGGTCAGGGGAAATCGGTACCTCGGGGCTCTTCTACAGCATAGGTTCTATATTGATCCTAATCATTTAATAGGGAAAAACTTGACAGCAATCACCCCGCCCTTCTGCCATTCCCCACATCGGTTAGGGCTCGCGCTTGGATGTTTCAACGACCTCGGCCTCCGTCGGATCGTATACATGACCCCCTCCTTTTATTTAGTGTACAATTGATCTTTCTATTGAAAATTATCAGAAAGAAACGTATTTTATCAGTATTTTTGTGCTTGCTCAAAATTTATCTACTTCAAAATGTAGCGGTTCGTTTAGTGATGGGTCATGTCGTAGAATGAACTACTGGAAGGTCTTTGAGCCTGGACTACTTCAGACGGCTACTTCACACAGGCTAATATACACCTTCATTAGGGTTTAGGCAGAGGTAACTGTGATTCCGAACAAAGCAAGAACTGACGAATAGTAAGAATTCATATCTCAATTTTTCTTAAAATTATCAGCCTACAGGTTTTTATTGGGAAGTGATTTTTGAAGGCGTTTTTGAAATTTATTCACCAGCTGTATTTTTATTCAAATGAATTTTGTGGTATTTGAAATTTAAACAAGAATAATTTAAAATGAGCATCAATTCGGGATGAATGTCAATTACAATGCCGTCTATTTGTAATTCTCTCCATCAAAAAGGATAACAATTTCATACATGTAGCCAAGTGTGCCATGTCAACAGACCTTTAATCTAATAATGTAACGCAATGCTTACCGTAGAACATTGAGGGTGAAAGGTGGGGACTACAGTACGCGCACTATTGCTAGAACATCGTGCGCATGAAAACTTGTCAAAAAGATTCAGAGATTGAGAAGAATTGTTTTGTGCCACTGTGTATCAAGCACACGACAAAACGCCACAGCTGCATTTTTTCAAGCTTCCACAAGACTGAAGGTTCGCAAGCCTCGCATGACCGACAATCGTGTCCGCCATCTTTTATTTCTATTCCCAAACGACATTATGTTTTAGGTCTATTAATCACCAAACAGTCCAGAAAATTCCTCAGCATATTGGTCATGAGCCGCAAGATCGGAGGTATACACGCGCTGCAATGGTACAAGTACTTCATTCACAAGTTAAGCCAACAGATGGCCGTGCCAGCGTGACAAAGGGTGTCTACGAAAGCAATCACTATGATGGTCTTGTCAGTCGCTTACCCGACGGCATAGGAAGCCGCCAGAGTTTTCAACGTTGCTATCCACCGTGGACACATTGTCGTGTGATATTCAAGAATAAAAAGGCTCACATTAGCGCACGGTTACAGACTTATCAAACAAAGTTCATTAAAGTGACAATACACTTACCAATTTGTTTACTTCTTTCAACTTGCTAGGAGAATGAGACCCCCGGGCCTTTGGCACACAATCCTTCATTAGACACTAAAGCCAGACCGAAGAGTGAAGCATGAGTAAAGATTGGAACACGAATCCAAGTAGGCACCAAATGGGAGTTGCTACTACTTCGCAGCAATAAAAGGCATGACCGCCAAAATATCAGGCAATGCACGACGATTATGTTTGCTACAAAATATTGTTTTGCAATATTCTTTTCATGGCGGCGTCATGAAGTAGACCTCAGCTGGCTTGCAATTAAAGACTGTAGTCTGACTCTACATTGGAACCATAAGGAGAGACCGCCGTTTCAAGCAATACAAGGCTCGTGAGGGATCATTGAATGCTTTGAGCCTGATGTCACAGCTGGAAGGGCAAGTCCTTTATTTGCATCCAAATAAAGGCCACATAACGGGTACCATCCTTTTATGTTGACCCAGTTCCCTCACTCAGAAACAGGAAGAACGCCGCTGTTCTATCAGGTCGCATCGCGCAGATTCACTTCATTAATTCTCATAACGTTAAGGCTCATTTTTTTGCCGGCGTCTTCGGAAGTCCAGTATTCATAGAACCAAGTCCTAGACTCGGGCCTCAACAAGTTTCGAATATATATATTTGGCGCCCATTTCATGATCGACAGTGGACAGCAACTGTATAGCTGAGTGGAAAATCATTTATTTGAGATACACCATGCCTGCATGGGCAAGAACCAAAACATAAAAACGCATAGACCACGATAACGTGAAAAATATCTTCTATGCACTTTGTTGCAGCATCTGAAAGAAGGATGTGGCATGACAAAAAAATGAGACTGTATTTTGAGAGCACATTGTGCTCAAATTCGGGCAGTGAAAGTAAGTTAAGTGTGGTGTAGACTTGAGGAGAACGCGACAGCGAAGCAAATTGGACGTCACGAAAAATTGGCCACGAAATTTCGCTCAAGTTGAAAGGTGTTAAACTCAAAGTTTGCGAGTTCGTAAACGCGAGTATTTGATCTGACGTCATAAATTCAGATTTGTTTTCGCTTTTCGCGTGAAGTATGAACCTTTTTCCGTGGTTCGCTTTCACATGCGCATGAAGTATGAATCGGCCTTTGCGTGCACCAAGCAAATTTATGCGATGCCGAACCTCATTCCCATGGGTACGATTTTGCCGCGCCATGTTCCCATCCTACATTGCGCGCTCTCAACCCCTGGTATGGAAGTTTTTCGGGAGGCGTAACATGATGGGCAAAGACATTTCAGGAATTGAAACATGTTCGTGGAGGCGCGAGCATTTTTCCGAATCTGTGTGTTTCTACTGGCGATTTCATGTTGGCCAGAATGTTGAAAGACTTCCAAGGCACTCGCGTTACCGCGCACATCTGTGTAAACTGAACGTTGACCATCATAAATCCTCTATAGGAAGATTTAATCAGGTCACGCGACAAAAATTTACGTGAGGGTGACGTGGGTGTGGGTGTTCGATCGTGTGGGCTTTTTAAATACGTGTGCTATTCACTTATATTAACGCATATTCATTCTGAATAGCCAGTCAGCGTCATTGTAAAAATGATCAACAAATTGATGTACAGCTCAGTACTGTAGCACATAGAAGAATCAGGAAAAATAGATGCGTTGCTCACGAAATGAGACATCCCAAGATTTCGGTGCGAAGCACCTTTATCAGTAAACTTGACTAAAATTGGGACCCTCCGTGACGTTGTCCACCTTTATGCTTTGGACACAGAGGCCGCGGGGCGTCAATCGCTCTTTGACTTCCTTTGCGCCCTCTTGTGTCCACTTATTACCGTATGGTGACACACGTTGTACAATTTTTAACGTTGACAGAAGATATCGCGGAAAAGCTGTCAAACGTGGACACCTTCGAGCCCGACTAATGTACAGTGAAGGGATGGCTGGCTGGGGCCGGGCAACGTTAATTCGACTTGATTCAAGTCTACTTCATCAGGGGAATAACGGCTTGCTTTGATGAACTGCAGGTAAAGCAAACACGGCTACGACGGGCGATTCACAGGCCTAAAGCGCGCCACCAAGAGTTTGCAGCAGACAGGCCACTTATCAAGTGTACGGTCGTCACGCTTCTACGCTCAAGCGCACTCCGTACGTAATTTGGGGATATCGATAGAGGTGTTCCCTGCATTGCTATTTGGCCTGACAAAAACTTATTCAGCATCCAAATTAACAGGGCTAATCGCACACGTTAAACCACAGCTAGCTACCGATCCCTCTAACAATAGGGACGGAAACCAGTCCACAATTCGGTTTACTCGAGGTGCTCCGATCATACAGAGATTAAATTTGAACCACGAATTTGAAAGCAGCGGACATCCAGATGCATATGCCCTTCGTTTGAATTTACTCAACTTAAGCCAATGTGTGTCTACATGTAACAGTTTTTCTGATACATTTATAACGGTATAGACTTTCTTCTACATCGCTAAACTATGCCGTCATATTTTTGCATTGCATTATGGGATATTTCCCCAAGTTGTGCTTGCACGAGTAAGCATGGTGGAAGTAATCGGACGCATTTGTTTGTAAACTCGATTGGCAGCCTGCAGCCAGCTTTAAATTCCATCGACAAAAGGCCAGTTGAGTAGAGGGCGCACCATGACCCCCTGGCATTAGTCAAACGTCGTTCTTCATTCCACGTCTACCCAGACTGCGCACTTAGATTGTCAGTTCGTTCTTCTCGGATCCCTACCTGCTCCGAACCTAAGACTGGTTATTGTTTTTTTTTCAAGGAAACCTCCTACTTGTCATTATGGGGAAATATCAAAGACTTTGAGATTGAACTCAAAGAAGGAATATGCAAGTTATCAAATTTTGTGTTTCTGCTTACCAAAAATAGAAGTTTAATTACCGATTCATTGTAATTCCGCATTCTACACACCATCTTATAGCATTTGCTTTACGTGTATTCCTGCTTAGTTATTCATGATTGCTCAGTATAACGAAAAATGGACCATGCATTTTGGTTTACAATACTATTATTTACAGGGTGTCCACCTAAAACGTATTCCCAGATAAAATTACTGTAATAGCAAAACTGCTTTAAATAGGCCTATGGGAAAGAGAAAAATATCTCTAGAAAGGGCAGAATGTCCTCTTTGCAGTGCTATACAGCTTGTGGCGTTATTGATACAGATGAGTGAACAAACTAGACCGGTGTTACGGGTACTGAAAACGGCAATGCGACGAGTTTGTACATTTCATAAACCAGGCTCAACCATGCAAGTGTGCAGAATACCAAATGCCTTTGCTTTAAGAACTGTGAGAAGTTGCATATTGATAACAAAAGTCAGGCATGTGGGGTGAAGGCAATTTCTTTTTATGGCATTACCTGCAGAACAAACTTTTCGCTACACCCTCAGCTAATGTTCAGGAGTTAATGTGCAAAAATAGTGGAAGAAGTCAATAATCTCCGTCAAGACCTTGAAATGATCAGACGAGCAGTAAGGGACATATTACAAAGATGTCAGATGTGCCTTGACAGGAATGGTTGCCATGTGGAGGACTTAGCACATTAAATTGATGGGGTAAGTAGCGAAAACAAAGCAGATAAGACTGATTTAAGTACCTTCCTTGTTTTCAAGAATGCGTTCTTAAAGTTCTTAAACTTTTTATGTGGACACCCTGTATAATGAAAAACAGCACTGCATTGTACACAGACGATTTTGGTAAAACAGAGAAACCGTTTCGGCCATGTTGAAATTTCGAGTTTACTTAATAAATTAGGTGACTTTTATACATACGGGTACTTTTCTGCACAAAAGTTACCATTTTATATTGACCCTGAAAGTGAGTAATCAAAACTCACAACATGTTTTATAAGAATTCTCCGAGGCTCTGTATTTCAGTTACTTTCATGGATCAGATGTGGAATATCGGCTGGCCTATTTTAGAAAAATCTGTTTAAAATCACAAAATACAATGTTAATATTTGAGTAGAAAAATGCAAAGAGACAAAATACATGTATTTAATTCACATTTGTACAGTTGCACTTATAAAAATGCAGTTACCATCATCAGCACTATTAAGGGTAATCAGGGGGACTACTCCTTAAGTGCGCCATATAGAACATTGGCATCTTGAAAGTATCTGGTAAATTTACAATGCCGTCATATGTGGGCAGTTTGTTGTTTTGCGCTCATTATTTACTGCGTTGCACAATCAATCACAGTGCTCCGCTCAGCCAACGGTTTGCTTGCTTTGTGACGTCATCGTATGATTCGTACATTCGAGTCACGCGAAACGATCTTAGAACACATCAAGCAATTCCACATTTTCGGCTCATTCAACACCGCTGAGGCCTTTGACACTCGATGGCTGGTGGATTGTTTTCAGCCAACTGAATTGTGCTTAGGGTTAGAAGTTGGGATCTTTACTCTTGCTGTGGTATCGATAAAAACCAGTTCCTTATGGTTGTGTCTCGGAGCTCTGATATACCGCTCCTCCTGCTCGAAGTCTTCACCTGAAATGTCCTCGGATAACTTTAAGCGTTCCAAAGTGATACTGGGCATAGTTCCGCTCCGTCTTACGGCCGGGGACGCTCGGGACACTTGGTCCTCGGTGTCTGTCTTGAGTGCCAAGCAGCCGGTTGAGGTAGTCACCGAAGGAACGGCATATTCTGGCCTTGGGAAGCTCTCCGGAGCCAGGGACAGATTCTGCGGGGTACGCTCTAACTTGTCGTACCCATTTCCGCTTACTCGGTGCAGAACAACCTGATTGGACAAGGCACAATAACCAACAGAAGTGATAGACGTTGTTTCCAGTGAACGTGATATCATCCAAGGGTCATTGTCATCTTCACAACATTCAGTTGCCAAGTCTGTGTCGGGTTCCAGGGTCACGTAGACAGGCCGTAGCTTCGCTCTTGTATCACTCTTCACGTTGACATATGCGTGGCTGGCCATTTTTTCAGTCGTGTCTTCGGAAGGGATCTTGCAAGGACCGACTGCGAGATCAAGCCCAACTGCAGATGGATTGTCACTACCAGGAGATGGGTTATTGAGCTTCTGCTTGTTCAAGCTGGTGTAGCTGTAAGGTCCGGGAGATGGCTGACGAGCAGCAGGTGAGGAGCTCTTGGGATGAGGTAACGGAAGGGGTGGGGGAGGTGAATGAGGGGTGACATCATAAATAGGTTCAGGCCGAGTAGGGGGTGGTGGGGAAGGGCGGCGTTTCTTGTTCAAAGGGGTCACGGGTACGGTAAGTAGAGGGGTGCATTTCTTGGTTGTGAGTCCTGCTACCTTTGGCCTGGATTCCCGGGATGTCTGGGATGACGAGGCGTATGAGAGGAGGCTGGTGGTGTCCTTCCAGCATCTCTCATACACCACATGCTTGACGATCACCGAGTCCGAGTCGTCACTGACGAAAGTCACCTCGCTCAACCCGGACCGATTCGACTGACCGGACTGATCCGAGCCGGTACGATGAGAAAGATCAGACAAATCGGAGCGAACACTCTCTGTGCTGCATTCTGTGGCCGTGGGAGAAATAAAGAGGTAAAATAACGAATTAACTGTGCGCATGTGGCCTGATGCAATGTAAACATTTATAAAGCGATGGCCTTCACTGATATTATCTACTCGACAATAAATATCTGTTTTTAGCTTAGAAACTGTGACATGTAGATTCATTTTAAAAATGCTGGAGAAACTTTACTGGCCTAATAGTTATAAGCATTGCTTGCACGGGGTAATAAAATTTGTAATTTACGTAATTGCTAGGTAAGGCGATCGACAAGACACTGCGTGACACGCCTTTTTAAATCATAATAATGCTTACTAAGTGCACAAAAAAGTCTCTGTATAATACATGAATATGAATCACTGCTCCTGTCTAATCAACCGTGCCTTCCCTGTACGTGCCCCTTCCTATATGCTGTTTCTAGTTGCAGACCCCCAGTCCCTACTCCCTTGGTATCATTGGCAGCCCTCCAACATCCCCTAAGCTTTCCTAGTCCGTACTACTAACGCGTCGGGAGATGGATAAATCACGGCACTTTTATACAGGGTGAACTGCAGGCGGTTTCAAAAACATCAATGCACGAAATTGTAGCCATTTTTAGCCGGTGACCACATCAGCGTGCGCACTTTATGGAAGGTAATTAAACCTATTAAAGGGGAGCCTTTTGTAAAAATTGACTGGCCTCTTTGAGCTTTAATGGTGCAAAAATGATCAGGATTGACGGTTTCTCAGTGAGTTTATGCCTTCAAGTGTTGTATGAACACCTAATGACTATAATGCATCATACGTGTGTTGGCCGATACTTTGCAATCAAACAAGTGATGTATAACTTTGTTTCTTTTGGTCGTATTAATTGTTTGTACATTTGGTTTTCGTGAGCTGCAGTTTTTTTCCAATCGACAAAAAATTTGTCTGCGATTTTTTTCAGGAGGTACCACAGTAGACTCCTTGACAAGATTTGTGATTCTTAACAGGAAACTGCGGTATTCTCATCCGCCTTCAACGATGATGTGTTCAAGCTGATTAGGTGGAGAAAGTGATGTACCCCTCTATTATGTCAAGCAAATCAACGTGAAAGGAAGGACAGCAATCATTTTAATGATCTCTGTAATCTAATTTCCAATTTTTAGGGGATTTAAGAAAGTTTTAAACTTATTGCCAAACAGTCGACTGAAGAGAGGGAAGTCGTCATTCGATTTGAAGTAGTGACTCAGTGTTTGAATCATGTACACGCTTTTTTGCCATCCTTCCTTTCAAGTGCCGTATAGTCGGGTCGTAACCTCGTAATGGCCTCTTAACTTTGCTTTGTCTTTATCATGTCGTCAGTGATTTCAACAGTTTACCTATAGGCAAGTCAAAAGGCACTGATTGCCTTCCAAGGGATGCTAATTTTTGTTATTTAGTTAACGCAAATACATTTTTTTCACTCTGTTTGAGACTTTATTCCAGTCATAAAGTGCAAATTAGAAGTTAGGACCCGATACTCTGAGTAGGAAGACGCATGATCACAATCGTACTCTCCATACTCTAAATAAAAACATTGTCTTAGTTGATCAACAGACGGATCCATTAAACCCCGCCCATGATACCTTGATCAATTAAATTCATTCTTGCGCAATTGTTAGACAAAATCTACCCATAGGGGATAGCGTCATTGGAGAGGCGCGTAGCGGGGATTAATAGATCGGCTTAGTGATCATACCATACTCACCAGAGCTAATTGTTCTGAGGATGCAATTGATCTTCTGGGAATCCTCGGATGCATTTCTCTTAGTGCATATCCTTGATATATTAAAAAATACAGAGGTACAACAGATTCCATAAATAAGCGTTGTTTACATGCACTGTTTTTTTTACTTGATAACAATCCCCCTTTTTCTTTTTCCCTTTTGTTAAAAATTCTGTCTGATTACATCGAAGGCATGTCGACAAAGGTCCTACTTGTGAGTGAATTTACCTCTTCGATGTAAAAATTTCACAGATAATCTGATAAAGGTTTATATCTTAAAATTTGCGGATCCTTGTGGCTGCATCCTATCCGACTACGCACCGCTACTTATAAGTGAGGCCTGTGCAGCAAAATAGCCTGCCTGAACTGTGATGCTAATATATTTTCGTATGATGCAATTCAGTGGGCACACTTATAAATGAGACTAGTTAGCGTCACGAAAATATGCAAGCAGAAGGCTCGAACAAGCCTCACTTATAAAGTTTGCCTACTGTATTGCATCATATTATAATATGACTATCACAGGTAGAGCATTTTGCTGCACAGGCCTCGGTGGGTAGTTGGATCGGGTGCTGACTTATAGTTGATGATTATTCTTTTGATCAAGAGCCAGACACAACCTATAATTATTTTACCAGAAAGACGGAAACAATCTAGTTATTATCGATTTGAGATTATTGACCCCAAAACCACGCAACCTTTTATTTTTGTGATGTACACCAAATTTCCACGGCGATTTTACGTTTAATATTCATTATTCTGTTCTGTTATTCTGTAAGAATCTCAAGACCTGAATATGCTCATTCCGTCTAACGTCAAACGGAGGGTAGCCTCTATCTGCAGAATTCTGTCTTTCCTGCCAAAACTTGTCTTAAGACCAAAACATTTTCGATCAATCTTCACTGAAATACTTATTCTCTTTTGCAGGGAAAAAACGCCAAAATAGGGCCCAAGAAAACTGTGTATTTAAAATGAATTTACAAGTGGGGGGATATGCCCCGAATAGTGCCAGAAGCCACCAATACTTATTTGAGTGGATGGGGGAAATGGAGAAGTGGTTTACTTAAGGAGGAATTTATAATGGCTGGCTTCGAACCCGTCCTTACTAATCGTGCACCAAAGACTTGAATCACAATACCCCCTTCCGCACCACTTGAATACTAAACACCAAAACACGGTATAACAAGCCCCGACTGTGAGGTAGTTGGCATTGTGCCAACCTGTCAGTTTCGAATCCTGTTCAGGCTTGATCCCCCTCAGCCTGCCCCCCGGCCTCAGGATGTCTGACAAACCTCCTGTCGGTGTACACACGTAACCTAACTTAGAAGAGTCGTTCCAATTATTTAAGATATCACTGTATTTCTGTGTCTTATAACATCAATAAAAAGGTAACCTTCAAAAAAGCCACAACCTTGACCTTTCGTCCCTGACAACACGCGACCTGAAAGCCGCTGCTCAAGTTGTTGTGTATGCACTTTTATACGGGTTATCATTTTATTGTGTCGGTAACTTTTTAACCTCTACTCATCAAAGAAAATAAACACTGCTTGAAGTTTAATGATCGATCCGAAGTTTTAAGGAGTGTGGAATCTATAGCTATGGTCATTGCTGCTGAACACCAGTAATTTTTGTATTTTGGATGCTGTCTTTGTCGTCTAGAATAGGTACAGTGCATAAACCGAACGTCCAGAGGAATGTGGAATGCGTAGGTTGTGATCATGGAGGAACTTTCCATGACGTCAGTGCAAGCATTTCGGCGACAGCTAGGGAAATGAACTGAACTTTATATGGGACTATGATATATTTGTTGGCATGTGTCCACTTTCAGAATCAGTCCGACCAATTTTGGGATACTGTTCAGGAGGTTCACTGATAATGTTAAAAGGTACAAGGACTTCATTCTGGTCTCCATTAAAGGTCGACTGATTTGTTACTTAAGGTCATAATGTGGCTGTGCCATACCGAAATGTTACCAGTGGAGAGTTAATAGATTAAACAATAATATACTTGAAAAGTAACAGATTAAACACTTACAGTATAATTGAAAACATAAAATAATTAAAATGAAAATAACTCAATGTAATTACAAAGTCTTTTGAAAAGGGTTGCAAAGGTGCTGATATAAATTGCCAAAATATCATGCTAAAAATGAATTTAAAAACAAAGCTAAGCAAACGATTGACGGTGCAAAAGGAAATTTTTATTCACATTTAGGCCTATTGGCCAAATTTGCTTTATTTCACATTGAGCTAAACCAACATGACAGGATGTTGCAACATTATAGTTTGAAGACGGAACGTACCTTGGTAAGGGTATCATGCCGAAACAGCAGGTTACCCTCCCACGATGCCATAGTCTCGCCAGGTGGAAAGCAAAACTGGCGACTGCGAACAAAGCCGCCAAAATGACTAGAATAAGGAGAATGATCAGAAGCCTGTCTCTGGGTGCAGGCGGATCGACGTCATCGTGCGAGGTCTGCTCCGGGTTGGGTGCGACGGTAGAAGTGGTGTCTGTCCTGTCGGAGGGAGGTGTCACCGGGCGAGCGGTCATATAGAGACCAGTAAATGCAAGCACAGACGACCCATCCTGATCGTTATCTGACGCAGGTGGGGCGCTTGTGACTGGTTGCCCATTGCCTGGTGGTCTGTGGGGAGTTGTCACTCGCGGAACCACTTAATCGGGAACCGGAAAAGAGAAAATGAAAGGTAATTTAGCAAATACGTTGAACGGCTGTTAGGCTCTGGCTAAAGGCATTAGACGGATTGGAATCCATTTGCCTTTATCTGTCAAAAATTGGGGAAAAAGATATCTGCATGTTGTGTTAAACGGTAGCAGTAACCAATTTAATATACAAACCTAAAGGTACCATTGCGTCTCAGTTAACCTCATGTTCAATTTTTGTTAATACTATTTCAAATGTTATTTTGCTGTTTTTTTGCCTCTATAATTATTATTTACACATTCATGAGCAAAACAGTGATGCCATCCCAGAATGAAAGCCCCAATATTAGGCCTACATTGGTTTATGTACAAAAACGGGAGGATTTTGCTGGCCAAACTTCCTTTTCTTTGGTAACTCATTGTTGTGCAAGTACAGAGCAGTTAATAGCAAACGACTCTTTCTCAGAAATGTTGTCAGTAATTACATTCTGGGTTCACAATTTGAACAGAACATTATTCTGCACTGAACAATGTCTTCCCTGGGTGACATCAAAACAAGTCAGTTTAAAAAAGTGCATTTAACCGAAAGGGGATCTCAGACAGTTTTTAAACAATGAAGAAGTTGCAGAAATATTGTGTTGAAGAAAAAATAGCTGCTGTTATACACTTCCAACATTTTGTCAGACAGTGACAACTTCAAAGATTGAATCCGATTTTTCAATCCGTATTTGAGTTTATAGTGGTATATCACCGCACATTCGTTTGGCCTTAACTCGGTGACACTACTTGTTCACAGCAAACATCTCACTAGACGTCCTTTCTCAGCTTGAATAAAGGCTCTGAGGTGCCTGTACGTTTTGTTTCCAATTTCTTGGTGCCTTTTACTATGCACGCTAACTGACACTGGATTTCAAGAGAGGGCGTTCTTAACGGCATACCTGTTGCAGGTTGGTTTGGCACGCAAACGTTGCCTACCCGGCTGTACCCCGAGCAGCACACAAAACCGCTGATGTACACTGTGCGGAAAGCTATCTTGTAGACTGGGGTGAACACAACTCTGGAAAGCAAAAATGCACTCTAAAATTTCACCAATTTGTGCAATAGACGCTTTAACACATAACAACCTACGGTGTTTTTCTTTAGTAGTGTTGGCTAACTTGATAAATTGACTGGTGGCCTTATGTATGCGCTTGTAATAGACGGGTTTTGAAAAATACAGATTAAACAAATACTGGAGTTTCATTGGGCCAAACTGAAAAAAGGGACATTTTCAGCTTCCAGGTTTCGTAAAAAGATGAGGCGGGGCTGTGTACTTTTTGCTTTCAAGATGACCACCATTTGTTTTAAAGTTCCGACAGTCTTTTGTTTTAATTTCCACTTTTGAAAGACAAAGGAATGAAAGATTTTGGGCCATGGAGATTATGAACAGCAATAGACCTAAAATAGGATGACGTAATGCAATGTTTACTGCAGTCCTTGTGGGTGAAAAGTGTGGACAGAAATCAAAGATGGCTGACACGATCGTCAGTAATGCGTGCCTTCGCGCGACTTTAGACTGAGCAAACTTGCGGTCTTGCGGAAGCTTGAAAAAATGCAGCTCTGGCGTTCGTCGTGTGCTTGATAAATACAATGGCACACAAACAGTTTACAAGAACCATTTTAGAAAATAAAGGCCTTCACAATCTAGAGATCTTTTCGACAATTTTCCATGCGCATGATGTTCTAGCAATAGTGCGCCCGTCCCCACCTTTCACCCACAATGCACCATGGTATTGAAAGAGGGAAAAGGAAGAAAACAATTAAATACATGATCCTTGAAGGCTTGTGGTACCTTTCGACCAACAATTATTTGAATTGATGTCCGTGACTGTGACTCACTGCCAAAGTGAGTATACGATGAATCCTGGCAACACAAACATTCACGCCGTCCTTGTCTAACGACTGAATAAAAATATCAGGTTTAATCCGAAATGGCCTCAAAATTAGACCAAAATTGTGTCTGCTTTTCTGGTGCTGATTAACCTCAAATCATGTGTGTTGTCTGGGACTTTTTTGTCCCACAAAAGCTATGAAATCTGATTCTCAAAAGCTTTAAACCATTGCTAAAATATGTACAAAATATATTGAAGGTCAACGGAAGGAGAATTTCAAGTCGTGTGCACCACATAATGTACAACGCTAATCACGAGAAGGTCGGCCAACTCTGGCACTTAACTCTTTCTCTTATTTTTTGTTTCAGCGTCACACTATCAAACCCAACTGCGACTTAGAACACAACCAGAAGAGGAAGAATAAAATAATTTGACACTGCCTCGTCCGCGGAATCAACTGTGCACATCCAGGGTATTGCCAAGGCGCGGCGGGCCCCTGTCTGTCAGCATACGGCAGGTGTTTTCCTGTCGAAACGACAGGGAGTCTCTCAGGCGCGTGGAGTGTCAACTTGTGACGCGTCTAAACCGCGTGTGAAATGTCATCTACAAATGTCAATTGCCGCCAATTCCCGGGAGCGATTACCACTGTATGACTAGACCCTCGATCTTCACACCCAGTCGAATCAATCATTTTCTGATTTAAAGAGACGGCAAAATAGTTCGTGAAATCCATTGGCGAATAGGGGGTCCTACGAGAGCTTGAGCCCCCCTCCCGATTTTTGTTCTCTCTGAAAAATTAAACAACTATGTCCTTTGTCGCGCAACCAGGGGGTGGGGCTCGTGTGAGCTTAATTAGCTGTATTGTTGGTATATTTCTGTAGAAGACACCCCCCCTTCCCCCCAAATACTGGGTGAGCCAACGGGGCTGGTGAAGTCAAATGCAAGCTACCTTGTCGATGGCTTGTATTGGAACAGTAAACAGTTCGTTCATATATAAAAGGAACTCGGCTGTCATACTTGTATTGCTGACATCCGTTAAGTTCCAGCCAGGTGCAGATGCCTCCCCTCACGCCGACCAGGGAACTCCGAAGATTAGACTCGGTATAAGACTGCACTTTGCTGCAACAAAATGAAAACAGGAAGAGCTTTTGAACAAACGATTGTGAAATGAGCAACTGAGAACTAGGAAACGAATTTGGAGAAATTATGTACATATTAACACTCGCGACAACTGAGAGGTTTGCGGGAACACCATGCGGAATCGATCTCTTCTATGTACCAGCTACCGGTAAAGAATCAAATGCACAGAGCCAACGACATTTTTATAAAAATGACAAGAGTATTTCACGATTGCTGAATACCCATCTGCAAAGATTACCAGCAGATTACCAACCATCTCCGCACGATGCCTTTCAACTTCCTACAAGGCTGTCTCCAATTAGAAACCGTCCCGCTTGGTGTCTTGCCAACACTCGACAAAATGTCCTGCCTACAGACACAGTCTCTACAAACCAATCGCATTCTCGACATGATGAGGGATTGTGTTTTATTCCTCCATGATGTAACTGAGTAGACATAATTATCAAGCGGGTCGTTCTGAGGTCAAAAACTGTTTTTTCAGCAGTTCAGCGCGGGCTTACTTCTCCCACAGCTTATGTACTTTAGCACATTCCGGCGAAAAAGAGAAGTAATTGAGCTCAGAGTGCATCAACATCGGCTGTGGGCAATTGTGCTAGCATGGACCAATTTGTTTTCGTCTCTATGCCAATTGGAATTTAACCCACAGGTCAGCAGAAAAGTTTAACTGAATTCCATCGGATCCAGACACCTTTAAAGCGCCGAGCGGCCCAGCAGAAACCCTACATCCCAGGCTAGAGCTGCAAAGAGGATCACAGAAATCTCATAATCAAATGCAACTTTTTAAAGTTTGTTATAAGTTCATTTTAACTCACTTATAAGCACACATCCAAGTTTGGGGAGTGTAAAAAGAGGTGGTCGAATGTACAGCTGCTTAAAAGAAACTAGATATTTCTAAGACTTAATGATTTTACAAAGGCTTTATAGAAGCAATGAAATATCAAAACTCCTTTTTATTTCATAAAAGAAAGCAAAGAAACATGAATAATTTCAACAAAGCCGATTTGCTGACAACTATTCTTTTCTGAAATAATATTAGGCCTACGCTATACGCCGTGTTATTGCCATGCCAAAAACGTTTTAGATCGAGTTGAGAGTTGCGGGTTGAAGCCACACCCTTCACCCCTAATATCGAAAGTGACATTAACACCGATCTCCAAACACCAAAGGGGAAGTTCAAGGTCAAAGTATTACAGAAATAACTAAATTTAAGCGTCGAACCCATAGAAGGGGTATTAAAACACCATTTGACAGCTTGGAGGTTGTATAAGCACCATATCAGTGATACAGCCAGAAACGGAGCTTCCTGATCCGGTTGGTGATGGACTGCAAGCTCAAGTTCATCGGCTGTGGATCTGACAAGTCTAATATGTCCGGATGGTAACCCCACCCCCCAGGTGACGGAGATGTTCCTTTCTTAATATCCGGGACGTTTGTCTCAGAAACCGCCTGGGATTACCGCAGGGCCTCACACTGTGTGAAGCATTCAACAGCATTTTGCCATTGGCGACTGCAAACGAGGCTAGCTCCCTTCCATTACAACCACGATGTAAAGACTACTCCCAGGAGAGTAAGACATAAAGATGGGTAAATGGGCGAAAATGTATTTGACCTTGATGTGCCTCACACTCTCTCCCAAGGGATATACTAGATCTGCATTTTATGATTAACCATTTTCAAGAGACGTCTTTAGAAATCAGAATGAACTTCATAAAACCAAAGTCCTTCATAAAGACCACAAATCGGCTACACGGGTGTTAACACTTAAGGGGAAATGCATCATCTTGTGCTTCAAAAGTTGCACTCTTTATGAAAAGGTTTCTTATCATTTTTTCTTTATAATTCAATACAATTTCCTGATGTAGGTAAGACTCCCTTTTAAATGTCTAAAACACACGCCTAAATTATCGGCAACTATACGGGCCTAATTATTTCCATTGGTAATAATCCCAGCGAAACTGTGATATACACGTACACACGTGCTATTATATTTTAGTCCAGCACAATTCACAAAAACTCAGCAGTTTACATTTGACTCCTCCGCACAATCTAAAACTTAAAAATTAAAGGCCCACGTAACAATTAGAAGAGGAGGATTCTGCTAAACTGTAACTATGTCTTTGGGAATTATATAAAAATTAAACACGGCTAAATTTTCACAAAACGATCACCTGAAGTGCTTTTTCCTGCACTACTGGCACAAATATTGTAAGCATGACATTCACACTAAGAAGTTTCCAGAAAATGTTTGGAAGAAGGTAAAAATGGCCGAGGCTCGCGTCATTAAGGTCAGTTCGAAGTTGCCGATTGCACCCGTAAAGAAACGAGACAGACCTGGCCCAAGTCAGATTGTTCAACCACACCCAGTTCCAGGTAATCTTGTCTACTATAAACTTCCCCTCGTTTCAACTGATTCCTTCCCGTTCAAGACAGTTGCTCAATGGAGATAGGCTACCCTTGGCCTTGGCAAGAAGGCTGTGCTAAACCGGGAGCTACGCAAGCCACTGAGGAAACACCAAGCAAGCTCCCATACATGGAAATGCAGCAAATGCATAGAGGCAAGCCGAGGCAGACTCAGAGCACCGGGTCTCTGCTTATTACGGCCTTTTCCTGAATTTAAAATGATTGGCATGCTACCAGAAAGAGGATGCTGCGTCAGAATGCACGTTGCTGTTCCAGAAAAAAAAATAAGTGGGTCATATCTGTAGGTTTAATTCAACCTGACCTTTGTTACAGTTACATGTATTGGAAAGCAAGCCTGCTTTATTTTACACCGATCAACTGTGGTCCCTTACATTATGTTTTTTTGTCAAACTAAAATGCCACTGTCAAAATGAAAGCCCGTGTATACAAATGGTCAGCACTGATGTTTGTTTTTGCCTTTTTTTCATTCGTTTCCCTTTAGTTCCTACGTTTTGTGCGCCATGCCGCCCCCATTAATTAAAGTGATTATACTCTTGACAGGCTTATGTTACAGGTAGATTATCAACATGTTTTAAAACGGACAGGCTAATGCCTTGGCTAAGTTTTTTAAGTCTGATCTCACAATTCGCCACAACACGTTACGAAGGTATCGTTTTCACCGCTAACTTTTAAATCCCTATTATTAGCTTTATGCTTTTTACTTTTCTAAACTCGCAAGGGCACAATACCCAGCTGGAGGCCGAGAGTAATTATATCGACGAAAAACTGAGTAAGAAAGTTCAAGAGGGTATAAGTTTAAATATTGTGTTTACTGCCAGCCCAGATGTCGTTAATGATGTTTATTAAATCACTCATTTAGAAAAGAGTTTTGCATTGTATCTGTATACATTCTGTCATTAGCTATTACTATCTGATCTAAGAGAGATTTTAGGAGTACGAAATAAAAACTTGTCTCAGAATGTATCCCTGCAAATTGGAATAAAATAAGCGCAGAGTGTGTAGACTTGATGACAAGTTGTTAGACAGTCGTGTTTTGTCTGTGAACTTCAGTGCAAATCCATTGGGGTAGCTCTAGTTTTAGATTAGTAACATTACTGGCCGAATTCCGACTCACCGTATGCGTGCTGCACATTATGCAATGCTTTCTGCGGTGAGATCCAATGGCACAAAGTTATGCAAACTGGATGATTTATCCACTAATAGGGGACTTCTCGGGGCATATGTTCAGATATGGCGATGTTAACAATCAATGCTCTCAACTGGGTCAATTGTGACTTAAAATAAAACGTAACGTTATGAAATATTTGAGTTTACATAACTACGCCATAGATGATTAATTTTTAATGCATGTAGCCATGCTGTTTTCGTCATTGGTCGGCACGTAAATTGAATTGGAATGTACTTGTACATGTACATGTATCTCTACAGTACACTGCTCGACGCCTGTAAATGAATTTGAGGGCGCTACCGCATAAAAAGAAACATGGGAGCTACCAGCTGAAAAAAAAATTGGAATATGAATAAGCAATAATGAATTTGACTGTCAAGATGACGAATTTCGCCAGGAAAACCTATAATACACTACTCAAAAAAAGTTGAAGACCACTGTTTATTTGAGATATTTTACAAACAAAAACTGAAAGAACTAGACCCCAGTCACTGCTTGGAAAAAATTACAATTTAAGAAAAAAGTGGTCCTTAACTTTTTTTGAGTGGGCCTAGTATTCAACCAAAGCATTTATGTGGGGTACAGCATCTGTAGTTCAAAGATGCCGATATATTGTCATTATCCCTGAACATTGGGCTAACAACATCTGAATATTCCCGAGACCATTTCAACTCTCAAGGGAGTATACTAGCCCAATGCTGCCATATGAGGCCAACACGGCCGAACATAATAACCATAATTACTTGCCCTCGGAGGTTCCATTCACTCCTAGGTGGAGAGGGCCACTTAGGAGCAAGGTGACTTTCTCGAGATCACAATATGCTGCAATCAGCTGGATTCGAACCACGACCTTATGATCAGAAGTGTTACACAAATCCTAACCACAAGGCGACATGCCCCAACATGAGGCGGCTACGTGGCTTCGGTTAGCAAGTGGTTTCCACACTTTCCTGTGCCATGCAAGGTAAGACGGTTCTGCCCCGGTGCCATCGCCGTCACGAAGTCGGTCTATACAGGCCCATAGCATCCGTCGACCTTGTCGAAACAGCCAATCCAAGGCTTGGTTTCATTAAAATCAGGAGTGATCACACCAGACAGCCTGGGATTAGAAGACATATTAGGCTATCCCTCGTTGTCTTGCACACTGCAATAATAAGGACTTGCTGTTAAGCCAACACATCCTGAAATCGGCCGGCTATTAAATTACAATAATCTAGAAAAATTGCATCCCCAACCTCGTAAAATACCAGGGTGTCCAGCGTTAGTAAGGCCTACACCTTGTCTCTAAGGAAGCTTATAGACCATTCTTTTGCCGCGTCAAGTGCGCAGTTCATGCCTACCAGTGGGTGGCGGAATTATGGGTAACCGTGGGTACCAAACAAGGGGCATA